TTATTTATACCCATGCGTAGAAACAAAATATTAAATCATCTATTATTGTGTGTAAGATGTTAAACTTTTAAGGTCGTGATATTTGAGTATAATATAAATACCAGAGCAACCACTAGTGCACGCTTTTAATATGATTATTTTATTAAATCATTTTCTGAAGTCAGTCGTCAAAAAATAAGTCGTAGTGTAAAGGAAGGGGGGGGGGGTCAGGTGACATAGCGAATTCGTTATTACAACGTTACACAGTACAATACGTTATTTGGATTGACTTTCCATATACTTCTGTGAACATGGCTTTAGGTTTTATCGACCAGTAGTGAACGAGTTTTGTTTGAAATATCCTGAGGTGAAGTTTAATGAGAATATAACATTCTGTGTGAGCGTTCTTCAGCGTCGAATTTCTAATGAGCTATTTTGCTGTTGTTGTTGTTTCAAAAGCATGCAAATTTAGCAATGAAAAAAAGATAATGAGTATTTTTTTCTGCTTGTCAAAGATTAAACACCAGCAGAGGCGTTTTAACATTTCAAACTACTCGGTGCAATTTTCTTACTTATAATCCGTACTGATCAACTATAGGTATTGAAATATATATGTTTTTTGCATTACATTGGGGGGGGGGGGCGTCGGTGCGCTACCCCGATTGCACCTACGTTAAATACGCCACTTCTCACCAGTCAGTATTATACATTTAGCATTTGGTCTCTTTTTAAGTGATTACTAGACGATTTAGAAAGGTTGCCGAGACCTATGTTTTGGTAATTGAAGATTCTCAGTGATGACTTTTTAACGGTAAACTTGTGTAAAAATAATAGTTTTCAAGTTACGTTTGTGTTTTTGTTTTAATGCAAAGCTACTTAAATGGGCTGTCTTTGTTATATCCGCTGCAGGAAATGAATCCTGGTTTTGGCGGTAAAAGTCACGAAGCTTACCGCTGAATTACGGGGAGGTCGAGTTATGAACGATTAAGTGTAGAAATATTTTTACACCACTTTTCAGAATGCTTCGATATTCAGTACTGTACGTAGTCGGCGTAAAAGTGCGATATTGCTTTCTTATTATATGCAGGTTTAATGTAACTTTTTGTTTTCACTTCATGTAATTATCAAAAATGGTAATCACGCTAATTCATTTTATTGATTTTTCGTAAACCTATAGGCGTGGCACCTAGAAAGTCATAAAAAGATCTACTCTGCAAAATCTTTGGTTCTGTTGAACTTTACTATGTGATCAGGGCCACAGAAAGCGTGACGTCAGAATACGAAAATTCCGAGGCATGTTTCTAATTGGCTGGACATTTTTTACTGGTTTACAAGGTTTTTACTGGTCAAAATGAAATGAAAAGTGTGCCAATAATATGCAAACTATCAGCGACTGCATTTGTTTTCTTCAGGGGAATGGGGTTGTAACTTTTTCTACAGGAAATAAATGTCTTTCAAAGATGTAGGAGGCAAATTAAAAGTGTATGGGGGGAGCAAGGTTTATAGGAACGAGCGAAGCTAGGGAATATGCGCCACAGGCGCGCCCATTACGACCGGGGTTCAGGATTCGCTTTTAGGACCCTTGAGTTCGAGATTAAATTTTATGTATCCTCCTGCCCTTTTTTTTTTTGAGAGTAAGTTTCGTAATTTTGATGAATTTTTATTGGGATAGTTTGAAAAGTGGGGAAAGGGGGTGCTAGCCTCCCCGCTTCCTACACCACTGCCTTTTATTTTAGAATAAAAATCTGCAGCTAAGCAAAGGTACCCCATGGTAATAAGCATAATAATTATTCAAACAAAACATAATTTTATTTCTCTTCTATAAAGGGCTTGTTTGAAGTTAAGCACACAGCAACATAATGGGCTATCTGTGCTCTGCCCACCACGGGTATCGAAACCCGGTTTCTAGGGTTATAAGTCCGCAGACATACCGTTCTCTACCATATATTTATTATTTTCAAGTGTGACGCTTATTGGGAATTAAGTTTTAAAGAAACTTTTAATTACGTAATCATAAAGATGTTATGTTTTCAAATGTCCCTTACTGGTACTAGAGGTATGTATACATATCGACATAAATTCAGGAGAAAAAAAAAAACTTGAAAAATTAGCCATGGTTTCTTCATATACTATATTAATTCATATTGTGAAATTATCTATACGTTTATTTCTCCCCAAACTCCTCCCACAGTTTTGGAGCAAGTAGGACCAAACTTGGCAGGTGGACTCAGCGTGACATGTGGGATGTCCTTATTTATATGGTGTATACTCTTTATAAAGGGGGGCTAAAACGTACCCAAAAGATCACTGAGGCATTAAAGGGGGAGGGATATCTGAGAGTAGGTTTTCAGGTGATGAACCGTAAACGAATCCTATCCCTAGGGGCACCATGTTTGAAACAATGGTCATACCCCCCCCCCCCCACACACACACTTACAAGCTAGAGGGGCGCCCATGTTCACGTACCACGGGCGGGTGTCTTAATGGGGCTTGCTTTTTGGTACGACCCCCACTTGGGTTAGCTATAGAAGTAATTAGGGATAATGATACGTTGGGACCTCTACTAGTCTTTGAAACCCATAGCGAAGCGCGAGCATTGTACGTTAGTACCCACAATGCTGTATTAACAAAAGATGGAGAATTATTTAAAATCTTCATAGATCATTGAATTAACTATTGTTAAAATGTTTGTATAGAGAAAGTGGTTAAACGAGTTATATACAAGCACATTATTCACCCTTGCAAATATGATAACCCTTACGGACAGTATCCAGTCTGTCTTTCATTGTGTGTCTGAGTTAGAATCAAATAAAGAATACACGAAGAGGATCATTGTAGCATAGCGGTCCACTGTATATAGAACTTATTAGTTTATTTTGGCTTAAAGGTTACTTACTGTATTGAGTGATAATTGTAATGAAAAACTTTTAAAATGTGTTGTTCGACACGTGTGTTCAAAGTGCTTGATATCCTTATCCATTTTTTGATGCACCCTAAGAAAGTGTGATATTACTGCTTCGTTTTCGAAATTGTTCTTTGAACCTGCGCCCTAAAATTGTATGTTGTGCGTTGTCTGAAGATTGTCCAGGTTATTTCCCAAAGCACTTAACAACAGAAACTCGTGTCATTTGCGAGTTATCGTTCATATGATAATCATGTATGAATTATTTAAAATTTTCATTTGCAGTATAGTACGTGCGGGGTTTAGCCGCTAGCTGGCTGGATTATGAATCGGGGAGTCCAAGGTTCGCGTTCCGTTGCCGCAAAATAGCACTCCGTAAGGAGTCGTTGGTGCGTTATAAAAGCGATAATCAAGTACAGGATAGAAGTAGTTGTTCACATGATGTGTGGATTCCCACAGTCAGTGGCTGGAGTTTTTTTCTCATAACTCATTACATATATATATATTTCGCTAATAAGGTTGCAGTTGCTTTAATCTAAAATACACAGTAATAAAAATATATTGGTGGCTCGGTTTGTTTGTAGTTAAGCACAAAGCTACAGAAAGGATTATCTGTGCTCTGCCTACCATGGATATCGAAACCCGGTTTCTAGCATTGTAAGTCTGCAGACATACCGCTGTGCCACTGGGGGCTTGTTGGCTCGAAAAATGTAATACAGAAAATGGTACCCATTCTGATTATTTTTTGCTGACAAATTACTTCCAAAGTTTTGTTGACATCTCATGTCTGAAATATGTTTTCAAGTACAATGATGGGTTCTGAGGTGGTAAGTCTACGGACTTACAACACTAAAATCCGGGGTTCGATTCCTCACGGTGGACACAGCAAATAGCCAAATGTAGCATTGCTCTAAATCAAACAAACCGTACCCATGTTGGAGTGTTTGAATTAAAAAAACACATTAATACAGTTTAAACTCTTAAAATGTATTTTAATGAGCAAATTAACGTTTTTTGCAACTGCTAGAAAAACTGCAGATGTTTCAAATACAGTAAACAAGAAGGAATCCTTAATAGCCGTGCCACTTGAAATTCTTTTAGGCAGGATTAGACTTAATTAATCTATGAGACCTTATTTTTTCTTTTTATTAGCTATATTTTTGTGCGCCAGCAGTACCAAACGTGGGGCGCGCGTATACCCAGTTCGATTTTATTACTCATCGGAATCTCTACCAGCCTACCCTCAAATTGAAATTACTTAGGCAGGATTAGAGTAAATCAATCTGTGAGACCTTGAGCGTGATCAAATAATCAATCGGAAGGGTTTGACTTCCTGAGTCCAAAATTGTAATTAGATGTCAAATCGGTCAAGAGATGATGGAGCTATTAGCTAAAAGTTTGTACTTCAAAAAAAAAAAAACAACTCAGAGCCGTTCTATGAGCCGCAGGGAATGGGATATAGTATCAAAGTTTGTAACGATAGATGTGTAGAATCACCTTATCCAAAATGAAAACAAACTACGTGTAAACTTTCTGCCCTGGTCAAATCCCACTATTCGATTGGATAAGAGTACCCCAAGTGGTGGATGCTATTAACAGATTGTCTAGTCTTATCAGTTCAAAATTATGAACAGGACTAGTTCAGATAGCCCTTGTGTAGCTTTTCGTGAATTCACCAAACAAACATTTACAATTTAATACTGTAGATAATACTTCAACCTTCAACAAGTATTAAGTAAGGTATAGCATATAAAACGGCAGCTTTATTTAAGCATCAATCAGTACTGACTGTTTTACCGTGGGGATCTAACGTTCATAGATGGTCTGGCAGAATATATTTATTAATCTTTCTATTGTTTAGTTTGTTTGCCATTGTATACCTTAGGTGTATGAAGCGATGTACGGTTGTTGTTTTTTCAAGGAAAACTGTACGTTTTTACTACTTTTTTATAGATAGCAACAGGATTCCATATCATTGGCTTCTCCATTTAGCGAAAATGCATCCTTTACTTGTCTTTATAAGAAGATCAAATGGCAAATGATTTTACTCCACTGCGTACTTTATTTTATAATTTTTCCAGTTGAAACATTTCAGCAAATTATCAAACTTTATTTCTAGGTGTCCTGTTTAGAGTTCCTGGAGTATCTAGTCAGGATGACGTCTTCACTGTCCACCCTCAAGACCAGACTGTGATCAGTGGAAAACCCGCCACCCTCACTTGTAATGTCACCAATCTTCAAACTCTAATGGTCCACTGGACTCTGAATGGGAATCCTGTTGAAAACAACACTCGCAGGTTCCAGGAGTCTACTAATCTACATATCACTCGAGTGGACAGAGTCCAGGACCTTGGAGACTTCCGATGTGTAGCTACTGACGTGGACAACGGGACTTCTGTGAGGAGTCGGCCAGCACAGATGGACGTGCAATGTAAGTTTAAAGATTTAAAAGTTGCCTTCCAAAGTGTGATTTATTGTTGGTGATTTGTCTATAAAACGTGAAAGTAATAGTCTTCAATTTTTTGTTTTCATTACTCCGTTAATAAATAGCACAAGTATGACATGTATTCTTAAGAAGTGATTATAAACTATGAGACAAAACGCTGCAATCCAAATGAGAACAAAAGACATTTCAAGTACGTTTTAATTATGTCATTAAACTATGTGATTGCACATGTATTAAGATAGCTGTAAGAAGAATTTAAAAAGAAAATATGAACTAACAACACAGCGTTAAGTGTATTATTTTTGAAGTAAAACCAGTATTTATAGACTAAAAATGATCATGTCCCTCCGTAGTACTTTTTTACATTCTTGATCAAGGAAAGATAACATTACTTATAATTTCGGATTGTTTTACCAGATTTTATAATAGATAACCAAAATTCGATAAAAACAAAATAATACTAGATCTATAATTGCAGGGTTCTTATAGATGTCCACTTCATTTTACTAAGTTTATAGAGCCCGGCATGGCCAGGTGGTT